TTATTAAAAGTTCACTTAAAAAATGCAAAGAGTACACAGAACACTCTGTCTTACTGTGCCACTTCATGGACATTAATACTGATTTTTATGTCCAGTGAAGCCGCAATGAGGTGTGAAGCAATGCATTTAAGAAGAATTGTTGATACATGTTTTCTCTCTGGTGTTAGAGAAAGATAAAGACAGATACCCAAAATGATTGCGGAGGAGTCCGACATCTGTTGGGTGGCTGAGAAAAGACAGCAGAACCAAATCTGGCAAGAAGTAGAAACGAGGGAAGGCCTGTCTTTTCATTTCCAGAAAGTGGGAGAGAAACTGACAACAGACTTCCAGATCTTTCCGCATGCGCTGCAAAATCACTTCTTTTGGAACTTCCGTGGCACAGCAGCACTAAGAGATAAGTTGTTGTTGTTAAAGTACACATTAAAATATTTACAACTCAGTCACTTATCAGAAGATGCATATTTTCAAGACGTAGCAAATTCTTGTGGTTTTGCCAAAAACCATTGTGTGACTTTGCTTTGGTTATCCCATGAACTCTACATTGTATTTGTTAAAACATAGAATTTAACATTTCTACATCCAAAAAAATATCACATATATCCATAATTAATGGATTACCTGAACATACTGTACGTTTTAACTGAATTAGAACCAATTCCTATAGCATCTTGATAAAATAATAGTCAATATGGCAAAATGCAATTAAAATTGTAATTTTTAAAATAAAACGAATGATCCACTTAAATAACATTTAATTACTGCGACACATATTTGATACATACAGTATCCAACGTACCTGTAGGACATTTCTCGTCCTGTAGGCTGAGTGCATCATTTTGATCCAGGTTCTCTCAACCTTGGCAAAGCGTTTGGCCTCCTGGGGGAGCTCCTGTTTAATTGAGTTGTAGTATTTTAGATTAAGACCTGCAATAATAACTAAATTGATTTTAAATGACCTCTCACGAGTGGACTGTACAATTTAACCATAACATCCCTTAATTCCCCTTCATTTACGTTCTGCACTCATATATATATATAATCTCACTTTGACTTGGCCTTTTTATTGCTTCCCCACTTCCTAAAGATGTAAATGATGAATTAACACAACCCCCTCCGTCTTTTTCATAAATAGCCTCTTCAAGCACCATGCTTACCTTTTTATACCAATAGTTAATGTTTCTGCAATCTCTGTGTAATACTCTGCACTTGTTAACATTAAATGTCATCTGAGAGATGTTTACCCTTGAATTGGCTTGAATTCTGTTTGAATAATTTTGCTTTTCCACTGGAGACTATGCAGTCTTTGCTAGGTCTAATGATTTGACTTCATCTGCAGGCTTCACTAGTTTGCTAACTATACCAAGATCTCGACCGTTGATATACAGTAGATTAGGAAGAGCAGTGGACCTAATACAGAGCCCTGTGGCACGCCCTCAGTTGCATTACACCAGCATCCACCTCTTACCTGTACTCTGTGTTTCCTACCCACTAGCTGATTCTCAATTCAAACACAAAAGAAATACAGGACTGAAAACAGAACATCTAAAAACCTGAACCTTAAAACCTCAGACCCCAGCCACTGAAACCCCTTTATGTGAAATTAAAGAAAATGTCACCTCACCTTGCTGAGGTTTGCGTCACTAAACACAGGCTCCAGGTTCCGCCAGAGGTCCTGCACTTCCAGCCACAATTCCAAGATGTTTCCCACCTCCTTCAGTTTGTCAGTCCAGGAGGCCGCCTCCTCTTTCAGCGGGCCGATGTGCGGGGAGGTCAGCATCTGAGCCAGCAGGAGCCTGGCATGTTCCGCTTGCTCCAGGGTCAGCAGAGTGTCCTCCTTCCCCAGCAGCACTGGGCCCATCGTCCTGTAAGCTTCGAAGCTCAGCACCTTGTTATGAGCAAACAAATCACCAATAACAAGATGTCAATGATTAAACACAAAACAAGCTCTGTGTGGTTTAGAAAGTGTCCTGCCTGTTAGTGTTTTACATTGAGCTAGTAGATTGCAGCACATGTTCTGAGTGAGAATGCTGAGTTTAATTTTGCATCCAGGTAGTTTGTCTCAAAACAAGCTTCTAAAACTTGAATGTAGAAGTGCTGTTTTTTGCTGTTCTTAAGATGCTTTTATTTACAAAAGGGAAGGGGCACAATTTAAAGTCTACAGTCTTCCTTCTTTGGAGTCCTACACTTTAACAAACAATCTTCAACTTCAGTGTACTTGTTTTGACCACTACATAAGGGGATTGGTTCAATTAGCTACAGTAGATTAGAGGTCAGAATGTTCATTTCATTTGAACAATTCTTTCTCTCAACTACTTACTGAACTACATTACTGAAGTAATTGAACAGATTATGTGGTCAAGTGGTCAAAATGAAATTGTTCCACGTGGTTAAAAATTGATGATATTTAATTTAAAAATGATTTTGTTATGGGCACTCAATGTCGTTAGAATCATTGTTTACTTCTCAGCTCACAACCACAAACCCTTTGTACACAGGGGAGAATGAGGAAATGCAGGCAAACTCTTCTAATCCTCCCACTTTGAGCTATTCATAATTTCTCATGTCACAGGCACCATGTGTCACGCCCTGTACACCTAGAGGGCGCTCTACTTCTGCCCTGTTCCTAGCCCCCTCTGATTATTCATGTCTTTCGAGTGTATCTTGTTGTGTAGCCTATTTACTTTCTGTGTCTTCCCTGCTCCTTGCTCAGCATTGAGGGTACTGATGTCTTGAGACCCGCCTAGCACCAGGTTGCTCCAGTCTGTGGCCTGAGGGCATAGGTTTCTATACCGACATCGTCATACCCCCTGAGCCCGGGCTAACCTCTGTGTTGCCCCTTTTGCCACTACGCATAGGGTCTCTACTGCTCTCCTTGTCATTCCACAGCATGCCCCTTCTGACATTCATGACACCACGGCCCTGACCAGAGGTTCAGTTCCAATTACACAACCAGGTGCACCACGTATCAGCAAGCTCATGAAATGCTGTACGGATGAGAGATTTCAGGCCATCTTTTCCCACCCTATACTCAGCGGTGCTCAGCCGATTGTGTGCTGTCTCCTGGGGAACCTCAGTCATAGTCAGCTAGTGACCTGACCCAGTCCCCAACCTGCCATGCCTGGATCCTATAGCTCAAATCTCAAGAAAATGGCATAAAGTCTAACTTCAACATACTTTTAGGGAAAAACTACAGTACTGTATATGCCTTAACTGTATGCCACAAAATATAAGGTTTTGAATATTGAAGACCACGAGCCAAATATTCAAAAGTGTTTAAAAGTACTAAAAGGAAAATAATTCTGTTGAAGACAGAAAACAGAAGAGGCTAGGTCTCTATTAACAGCCATGCAAAATGCCTACTTGTTCTGTCCATTCCTCTTCAATTGCCCTCATTTTCACCTCCAGCTGGAGCTCTTCTCTTGCTGCTGTTGCTATCGATGTAATGCCAGCCTGATGTCTACATAAAGGCAAATGAATCACTGTGTCAGAATTACAGTCATTAAAGTCTTCTGTTATGTGTGCAAAAATACATAAGAAGAGTTTTGAATGAGAGGAGGTCATGAAGTTCATCTGCTTTGATTGACTGCTGGGTTTTAATGTATCTGAGAATGTCCTCTAATTTTATTTTAAAGAAAATAGTGTATCAGCTTCAACAACATTTCTAGGCAGCCTGGTCCAGATACCCATAATAAAGAAGAAACATGTTCCTTTTCTTCTCAATTTTAAATGTACTTCCTCTGAGCTGCCACTTGTATTCTCAAAGTTAATACGGCATAAAATGACTTTGAAAGAGTTCAAGTAGGGAGTGGCATCAGCACGCAAATTGCACAGAAAAAATAATTGGTAAATGACATGCCGAAAAGCAGAAAGTAAGAAGAAAAAAAATGTTTTGTCTCCAGAGGTGAATAGCGTTTTCTTCTATTTTCAGTCTGGAATTAGTCTCTACCTGTTCCTTAAGACTTGTGTGTGTATTTGTAATAAAAGAAAAGTGCTTACTTCATCAGCTCCACATCTAAGAGGTGATGAAGTTTGAAAACCGTGGCTTCTAGAGGAAATGAGCTGCCTGTGACAGCCATCACCTCGAGCCAGTGTCGATTACGAATTTCCTGCATAACACAAAATGGGAGGCAAAATTAATTCCTCCTTTTCAATTAAAAAACACATTTTCTTCATAAATGGCATTTCCTATAGTTATACTTTTCTTCAATTACTTAAATCTGTTATTAAAGATCATTTAAATAGAAATGCAGATGTTAGAGGAATATGCTTTTTGGACATATACATCTATTAGGACATAGATTTTGCATTAAATATTTGGTTCACAGAGGGGTTGCTATTACAAAACTGCTTTTATGTGTCATTGTCTCTTAATTGTTAATGTAGTGGAGAGAAAAAACGTATTTCAAGCAAATAACACAGTTACCTCAACATCCAAATATAATTGAATATCACTGACAGATTTGTACAGTATCTCATACCTTGGCAGCAAGTTTGTGTAAAATCGGAAAGCGATCAATGTAAAACTGGATTTGTGCAGCCATTTCATGGTAGGGATCCCAGTCTTTCAGTTTGTCTTTTTCTGCCAGGCACTGAGACCAGTAGTTCATAACCTGTAAATTAAAGATATAAAATAAAATATTCTTTGCTGCATTTCCTTAGTTGAGAAATGCAGAAGGTTAGAAAATGAAATGAAATAATAATCAAACCTCTTCGTTGCTCTGCTTTAAATCTGCTTTCGCCCACAGAGTATCTCTGAAACGCTCGTTGAAGGATAGAAACTTCTGGAAAAGCTCGTACAAGGTACCCAACTCAAGCAGGTCCTGATAACAGAAACAAAAATTAAATAAAGTGCATCATTTTGGAAGACAAGTTGAGAAATAATATTTGCCTGAATTCTTCAAATACATACAAAAGTTTAAATGTGTAGTAAATTTCAAAAAGAATTTTGATTGATCATTTATCTTTTGTTTTTAGATGATGAAGTGGTATGCTCAGAATAGGCTGGCAAAAACATTTATATACTGTATACTAATGGCATTAGATTTGTTTTCTTTTTAACTTTTTTTGCCTAGGATGTGCTTTGCCAGGCAAAGGGGACTAAGAATGTATGGATGGAAAGACGGAATGGGATTTGCTCATCCTAGTAGATAAAATAAAAACTACATCAAGAGGGGAACAGGGGCAGTTACACAGAGCTTCTGAAAATAATAGATGTTAACATATTGTAAGCATTGTGTGAGTTTAAACCAGTCTTCAATGTTAAGTTCCCATTTAAAACAAAATAGGATGATTAAATCAGGAATGTTAGTTACCTTTCCTGTTCGGTCGAGTTCAGGGAACGCTTTAGGTGTGATACTGAAAAGTCTTTGCAATGAGTTGAGGGTTTTTCTCTTTGCATCATAAACTTGAAACCTGCAGAAGTAGGAATTGGTGTGTTATTCAGGATAGTTTCAAGAATAACTATTACTGCTTAATTTATTCTATCTACCCTAGCCACATCTTTTACTTTTGGAACTTTTCATCCCAATCGTAAATATAAAAAGAAGCTCAAGGACAGAGAACAATGTCTGTAAATGAGGCATTAACAAATCCATAGATTTCTTCAAGTGCCTTCTTCTTCTCTACAGTACTGTTGTATTGACATCCGTTTAGCAGAATCTCCAGGTTCCAGAATTTCAGAAGAGTTATATGCAGTGTCACTTTTGTGAGCAGGGGACCAAACCCTCAAAGTCATTGAAGCATTCCACACTGAGGCCCCCTGCGTTATAGACTGTAGCACACGGTGAGGACTGTTGTCATTTCATGCCATTTTAATCAGCCGTGGTGAAACTCACTTTTCCTGGAAGATCTGCAGCTTTTTGACAGCCTCCTCAGGACTCAGTCTGGGGGCAGCAGGCCCCTGGGTGTCGAAGCTGTTCCTCAGCTGAATCACGTCCACCGCAAAACCCTGCGGGTATTGAAGCAAAGGTTGGCAGGCAAATTGTACCAGTTTACATGAAAAAATACTGAAAATTATGACTAGAACATACGAACATAAACGTTACAGAAAGGAGGAGGCCCTTGGACCCATCTTGCATGTTTGACAGTTAATTCATCCAAGGGAATAAACGATAGAATCAAGTTCCACATCATGACAGAGTATCTTGTTGAATAATTCCATCACCCTTACGGTAAAGAAGGCCCTCCCATATTTGATTTAAACACACTTCCATGTGATTTCCACTTGTTTGGGAGTAATCTTCTTGGATGACTTTGTTAACACCTATTTCAGATCATCGTGAAAAGGTTCAGTTCCTTCAGCGTGTCATTATCCTTAAGGACATTTTCATTAGCCCCAGAATGTATCTGGTTAGTCTGTGGCTAAGGACCTGCGCCTGTGGCTGGAAGGTTACTGGTTCAAATCCCGCGGCTGGCAGAGGAATCCTACTCTGTTGGGCCCCTGAGCAAGGCCCTTAACCCCAACTGCTCCAGGGGTGCTGTATAAATGGCTGACCCTGTGCTCTCCCTGCCTGTGTGTCTCATGGAGAGCAAGCTGGGGTATGCGAAAAGACAAATTCCTAATGCAAGAAATTGTATACAGCCAATAAAGGAACCTTATCTGTTATCTTAATATCCTTTCTATAATATGGCAACCAAACGTTTTTCTAAATTAAGCCTTTCTAGTGCATTATACTGCATTTTAACATAATATCCCTTAATGTAAAGCCTACATTTTAAACTGTATATCCTAGCATTTTACTTTTTAATTGCTAATCCACATTGTCTCGAAAATGTATATTAGGTATAAATCTAAAAAACACATACAGTAAGTCTTTATCAAAAGAGGCTTTTGTAGTGGCCTAAAAAAGGAGTTTGCTGAGCTCTACCCTGCAACATATCACTTCTTCCCTTGTGTCTGGAATGGTCAGCAGTGAGTTAAGCAGCAATATTTATTATAATAAGCAATATTAATTCGAGTAAAATCTGACTTTATCATTACAGTATCATCTTACCTTTACTTGCTTATCAAGTTCTTGTTCAAACATGGTTTTCTTGTCTTTTAATAAATGTCTCCTAACCTAAAGTAAGAGATTAAAACATACTTTTTATTAAGAATTTATTCGTGGAAAATAGATTCTTTGCTTATTTTGGTACTGGACATGACAGTTTCAGATGCAAAACCTGCAAAATGATAAATACATTGCCTTCCAAAAATATTTGCCCCTGTCCATTTTGCTGTATGACAAAATTCCACACTGTACACATTTTTAAAGAAAAGACTGGTATAAATCATAAACATGAAATATTACTAAACACGTTTTAGTTTTTGGTTTATCTGACTAACATCACATACTTCCAGACTAGGCTGCTCTGGATTTCACTGCTGCCTTGCAATAAAGCGAGATTTAGTCTGTATCAGTCACATCTGCCAAAGGAAGCTCTTCACTCAGGTTCAGTGTGGTCAAGCAGAGTCCTTTATTCATGCGCATGGGGAGGATACCATACAGCCTCTCAATGATGATGGCAAAGCTAATGGGTTTTATACAGTAGATTCAGGGTCACCTACTGTAGCTCATTCTAAATGTCCATATTAGGGGTTGTTTTTTTCTGCAAATACTTCTTTGTAATTGACTACTTTATTCTTAAGAAACAAAATTCACCTTTTATTTGGTGAAAAGGAAGTATGTAAATAGAAGGAGTGAAATTTAGCTGAACATTCTGTGGTTATAGCATTTGCGTCAGGGGGGGTCTTAAGTAGAGAGCAGAGGGGTGTTCACGCCAGAATACCCTCCAAACATGAAGTAACGCAGATCTGTAAGCAAATCCTGAATTCAGTTTGAGCCTAATGCACATTTACTGTAAGTATCTAAAGACATTAAAGTACTGCTCCCCGCGTGTCTGTTTCAGCCTTTCAGCAGCCTCAGGCAACAATAGTATCTCTCATAAATAAATATTTTGGCCGTTTTCAGGTAGAGATAAAATATAAGTAGAAAAAAATCCCCACACACGCATTATGGATATCCAATTTAAGTTTCCTTTGTCCTTAATGATCATTCAGATTTTTTTAATGGGGAATTCTAGAAAAATGTAAATCACTTGCCTACTGTTACACTCTATATGCTGGATAAGACCATTTGACAAAGTATGCAGGTATTTCTCACTTACTCTGTCTGCCAAAGCCATGAGCTCAGCCCAGTTGCTCCTGAGATTCATTACTTCCATCACTTCTTGTCTCGGGAGTCTAAGATCGAATGATCTATGGAAACAACAAACATTTCAGTGGTGTCAAAACTGTCAAACCCCAGCACTTGTTCGACAACACAAGCAACGAGCGTGATAATCATATTTCAGTGAATTAATCTACTGATTTTCAGTTCTGAAAAATGTGCTTTGAGTTTATTTTTTGGAAAATTTGTTGTCTTCTCACTAGAACATTAGCTGAATCTTAAAGAGGCATACAAACTGATGTAAAGGGAGACCATTCCAAACTACTGTACATAATAATGAATTCCAACAAGTGGTTTAATGAGCTATGCTAAAATTCATAATATGAAGCACATAGTAGAACGGCCTTTCTAGCCTTTAAATGTATTATGTATAGCATCTTACAGTAGTTATTAGAATTCTACTCATGCCTATACAGAGACAGGAAGACTATTATTTTGTACTGCAGTGTTCCCTTAGGAGAGATACAGCATTTATTCTACACACCCCAGCTGCTGGTACGTGCTCTCGATTGGCTGGTACATGCCATCAATTTTGTTTTCCATGTCAAGAAGCTCTTCGAGGAGGCAGAGGGAAATGTTTAACTCCTCAAGAGAAATGACTTCAGCTAGCAGCTGCTGGTCACTTTCCTTCTTGTAGCGGATTACTTCATCAAGCCTTTTCTTGAAGGGAATAAACAAGCAGAATCCAACACACTGCACACTTCAGGCTGAACGTGTTAAATTTATATACATTCTGGTTAATATCTACTAGTCCATGACTTTTTAAAATTTTAAAATGTGATGTTATGTTTAAATACCTCAATGTTGTTTTCTTTTAATCATCACAAGACCTTTAAAGACCTTTACCATTTCATCATAGTTTTATTATAAAAGGCCTTATTAGAAATATTGCAAATTATAGGATATCATTTATCTCATCTTATTCGTTTAGTTCCAATAAGATGAGAGAAAGCAAAATTCTTATTGTCACCTACTAACTAATGTAGAATTCATCTTTGTCACAGAAAGTCTTAAAACATATGTATAGATTTTTTCTTTTTCATTTTTTTACCTTGACATCTTGGTGTAAAACCGATGCATATCTAAATTTCCACACTCCCGCAAAGCCCCTCAGAGCATCTTTAATGGGACTCGTGTCTAGCCAAAGACATCCGGTTTGAAATACCTGAACAACATCCGCCGTTATTTCAAAATGGACATGAAGTTCTGTGATCAAAGAAGTCATTTCAAAAACCAAGAACATACTGTGGAATGCCACTAAGACATTGTTTCACAGTCACATACTAAATTTAAAACATTCTTATAGTAATCAATAACATTAAACATAACCTGCAATTTATAACAAGTTCCAGAATTTCATTATTATTAATGAAAATATCCTGAGGAAATATGTACTTTAAAGAAGATGGAACCTGGGTAGCACAACTCAAAACAGGAATATAAATGAACATGTTTTCATTTTTATGCGACAAAAAAGAACTTTACCAAAGGAATGTCCGTTATCTTCTGTTCAATCTTTTGCAGACGCTCCACCTCTTTAACAATAATGAACAATTCACAATTGGTTTCTGTCAGCTCACTGAATTGGCTGTTCATGTCATCCTTCCAAAGAAAATCAAATTGGCTGTACTGGAAAATGTGCTTCTCCACCAGGGGTTTCAAACCTAGCAAAAGAAAAGAGCATTACTGCAGTTTCTACCTAAACGGAGCAACCCTTGAAGTCAACCATAACATGACCTGAGCTGAACTAAAATATAACCTGGGATTATGGGCTCATTTTGACAATATATTGTGTTACAACCCCAAGTGTCTAGGGGTAAAGCGGTGTAACATTTAGGATAATTTTTGGAAGCAGGTGGGTTCTGGTAAGGGGCTAGGAATTTGAGATCCCAGACGAGCCCCCAAGCCCACAAGCCCACAATAATGTTACAACCCCAAGTGACTAGGGGTAAAGAGGTGTAACATTTAGGATAATTTATTGGGGGCTCATCTGGGATCTCAAATTCAACTTGCTTCCAAAAATTATCCTAAATGATACACCCCTTTACCCTTAGACACTTGGGGTTGTAACATCATTGTAACATTAACGTCCGGAATAACACAAACAAACGAAAGTACAAAGAGACGAACAGAAACCAACAAAACAACAAAGCCGAAGCACACACGCAAACCAAAAACCAAAAACCAAAAACCAAAAACCAAAAACCAAAAACCAAAAACCAAAAACCAAAAACCAAAAACCAAAAACCAAAAACCAAAAAC